TTTAAGGGCTTTCAGAATTATTAAGAGTAGGTGTCTGTTTTGATAAAGTAGGTGGCTGTGGGGATATAAAAAAAGAATCGAAAGCTTACTAAAACCACTATTACTATTTTACTATTAACTGTGCTAAAACTTTGTGACACCTTCTGGTAATTTTGACAGCCCTGACGTTTAAGTTTTTATAATTATTTGCTCTATCATTTGTTATAGGAAATGATTGATGGGTTGGACAGAGAGACCCTGATAAAAGTGGCAAAGGCCCTGTTTTATGTCTCGTCCACTTGTGTTAAAAGACTTGATTGCCAAAGTTACAGCAGGTCCAGAGGATCCCCAACAATCAAGCAAGACATCTGAGAGGTACCATACTTCTGTGTTTGTGGGTATTGCCGCGAGATGCCAACAGACAAAGAGAGGGTATGCTGTAAAGAAAGACGACTGTGTCACAGTACAACATTGGCATTCCAAAACATTTGCCTAGATTCCGACAATTTGGCAACTGTCATAAGGAGTCTAGCAGATACATATGTATTTACTCCAACATACAACAATCGGGCAATGAGGCATGCAGCCTACAGACAATATGTTATGTGGATACATGGTCATTTGGGTAAGGGTAATCGGAAAGTCATTCCCTCATGCTGTGTATGGAAAATAAGAAAACTTTACCCATCACCCGATGGTCGGTACACTGGATTCAAGGAGAGATAAAGACAATATATATTTTTCATACTGTATTCCTTTCTTTTGCTGAACACTGAACAACAGGACATGTTTTGCTGTAACACAGCCTCTTCAGTACTCCGCCATCTTGTTTTTAAAAAATATTAATTAAATAATATACAGATAATGCATATGAAGATTTCAATGTCTGTACTAGCAATATACATCATAATTCCTACAATTTTTCTTCAGTATAATAGGAAATGTGCAGAGGTGAAGAAAGCACCCAAAGAATGATTCTGTAAAAGCTGCAGAGAATTAGCAAAGTAGAATAAGTAATGTATGCTGTAGGACAGTTAAAATGTAGGTACTGTACAGTTGTTAAAATTTTGTGTTAAAAACACCAGTAGTTATTCCAATTTCGTTTTGGGCAAACTGATATCACCTTGTCCCGGTTATGATAACCTGTTTAATCTTTGCCCAGTTCAACAATTATTAAAATATCAGTGACAAAAAATGATATCAGTGACATATTTTTATGTCACCCAGCTGTTTTTATTTGTACCCTAAATTTAAAAAAAATAAAAAATAGTTTCCTGATAAAGGCAGAAGTCCTTCAAATTCTATTATCCTGGATGCTGGATATTGTTTTTTAAGGCACATAAGGCACACACCAATGAGTATGTAAGTAAGGCTACTTTTATGTTACCTACCTCAGAACAGGTTATACTGCAATATCAGTTTTATTGCTTTCAGATAACATAATAACAACCCTTTTTTCGTTGCACTCACTGGTGACATTTACGATAAAACTGATATCCCTCGCCCTTCATATGATAACCTATATATCATACCAGACCTTCCAACCTCTGAAACACCCAAACCTTGAGATCCCAATAATTTACTTGAAGAAACCTTGAGATTTGGGTCCCAAACCTTGAGATTTTCCAATTTTTTGCAAACGAAATGTCAACAATAACAAATATTAGAAAGATTTAAACTGTCATAGTAAGTGCTTCTTTAGCTAAAACTAAGTCTAAACAGATGCTAAATATAGCTAAATGAATGCAATCAATGTCAGGAAATTATCTACACTGTAACTATGATTTTTCTGTGTTGGTGTAATGTACTCAGGTGAATATGATGCTTGTGATGTTATTCTTGGGCTAGTATTCCAAAGGTCATAGGTCTGATTCCCACCGTGGTCAGGATATATACTCAGAGTAACATCACAAGCAATACACTGTAACTGTCATCCGCCATCTTGAACATGTGGCATGCTATCACACATTTGTGCGCGAACACACACGTGGACACTCAATTATCAATGCGCTAGATAATGCGTATTACGAGCAACAAAAGTTTTACTATTATCTATAGACTATTATACATAAAATTTATAAGTCAAGTTGATCAAACTGAAATGAAAACGGTGATAAAGACAGACTGAACACATAAATTCGATTTCATTTTAGGTTCTGAAAAACCGTGAGATTTAGAGGCTAAACCGTGAGATGAGACCTTAAACCGTGAGTCTTGCGGCCAAACCGTGAGAGTTGGAAGGTTTGTCATACTCCAACTTGTTAAATATTTATATTTTCACTAGGTGATCAGAAATGGCAGATTGCATTTATTATCCACACGTTGAGGACACTGGAAAATCCAGGGAGAGGGTAAAAAAGCCTTGGAAAATCCAGGGGGAGGGGTGAAAAAGACTGCAGAAATCAAGGGGATGGGGTGATTATAGAGACCAAAATCCAGGGGATGGGAAGGGGTATCTGGTAATGAATTCCTAGGAAATTCCAGAGAAGGGGGGAATAAACTGAATTCTAGGGGGTCACAATTTAGCTAGTAAAAACATGTGCAAAAAATAAATGTAATCCGACCTTTATATTAGTTATATACTAATACAACACACAGTTAAAGATGCTGTACAGTCCGATCTGCAAATGTGCACAAATGATCCCTCTTTATTATACAAACAGTTTATTTAGCTTTTTATTTCATTTTATGTTCTTGCGAAGCTTGATTGTTGTGTCTTGATAATTTATTATACTCTAGATTCTAGAATCATGTAAATATAAATGGTTGTAGAATAAAATTCTATATTTTGGATACTGAAATGCACTGTACCACATCTTTAATATTTTGTAGTATTCCAGATATTTTCAATCAGGGGGAATAACAACTTTTGGCCATACGGCAGCATTTCCCCCTTACGATAGCAATTTATTGTAGTATGCACAACACACAGTTATTGGTTAATATTTTGTAGTATTTTATAATATATATGCTTATTACATACCTGCAAAATGCTGCAATTTGAATCTTTTGCAAACATACATGACATTTCTCTGTTGTCATTTGTTATATATATAGTTTTAAAAATACTATTAATTTAAGTCTTTCATCAATAGTAGACTTGCTTGCTCAAACAGCGGGCTCAAAGCAATTGTTAGCTGAGGCAGCGGTGCATTTCCTGGGCAGACATTTTGAATTTTTGTATACACTGTACAGGGTATCCCAAAAAAATGTCCCCTATCATATTTTGTGGTACTACATCGTTACCTGTAATCAAATATTCAATTTTTAAAATTTTTTTATCAATGAACATATTATGTTAATCGTTGCATTTTTTCGCACCGTTACATTTTTTCGCACCGTTCGCCTTCTAGAGTTACTTAAGGTGACGACACCAATATTGCCACTTGTCCAAATTGAGGATATTAGGTTTAAACATACTAGAAATACATGCATGCAACAACCCCTCGCCTACATTCTCCAAACATTGTTTCGACATGAAGTGTTCGTAATTACGCCAACACTGAATGCAGGCTCGTGTTGCCACGTCATGTTAGTCATGGCAACACAAATACACGAAAAAATTTTTTTAATTTTTTGTACAAACCTGCAACAATAGATGAAACTTGAACACTTTTAAATACAGAACTATCAATTTTTAAATACATAAAGTAGGTATATTATTTTGTTTTCCATGGCCTTTATTTTAATGTAAAATTCGAAACGAAACTCTATGTAAAACGCTTTTAAATGTGAATTGAAATCAACTGCTTTTTGCCGATATTATTAAACCTCTTCAACTTGAGCTTCAACTTATTACTCACACTTTGAAATGAAACAAATTTAATTTGTACAGGAGGCTAATGAAAATAATTTGCTTTCCTTTTTATCATGAACTTTTACAAACGTTAATTTAACTACGAAACTTTCGCATACAATGCATACGAAAGATTTAAACAACTAGAACGAAGTCTAAAATATTAAATACAAAGTCATACAAAAACAATCGAAACAAACTTGCCCTATACTTTAGGATTTCTCATGCTAAATCAATTCTTATCAATGTTTACGTTTAAAAATTGAAAAAATGTTTTACAATTTGTTATGAGAAACGATTTTCCAAGCTTTCTTACATGTATTTTCTATATTTTCCCCTTCTTCACTCCTGGCAAACAGCCATATTTTGAGATCTGTTATTTTGAGACCACCCATACACCATGCGCCCACGATATTTGATGAACTTTAGACTTTGCTAGTGCGCTCCATTTCCCGGGTGTAAATAGCCAGACGGAATTAGTACCCTCGCCCCGGGCTTGCGCCCGGAATTCGCTCGGGAATTACGGAATGTAATAAAATATTTTAATGGCAAATGGCTACATATCTTTTCTAAAACCTGTACTTAGTTGTAGCCAAAATTGCAAATTAATTTTCTGTAAAAATAATGAAGCAAATCCCCAGAAAATTGGAAAGACTAGTGCTGAAATCCCAACATTTTCTCTTTCATGGAACAAATTGAACAGGAAGTTGAGGAATAGCCATCCATTCCTCCTGCAACAATTGAGCCAAGTCTGCCCGAGTGCTGTATTCTGTGATTCGGCGATATACAGAACGCTTCAGCTGGTCCCAAAGATGCTCAATTGGGTTGAGATCAGGCGAGTTCGGAGGCCACACCATTTGCTCAATAGCCGCACCAGCCAAGAACTCGGTGACGACTCTACCCCTGTAAGGGCGGGCGTTATCATCCATAAGGATGAAACCATCACCAATGGCAGCAGCATGTGGTACAACATGTGGGCGCAGAATTTCAGCAACATATTGAATGGAATTCAAATTTCCGTTTATCTGTATAAGCGGTGTCTTGTTGGTTAGGGTAATGCCACCCCAGACCATAACACTACCGCCACCAAAGGCTGTATCCTCCCTCTGGTGCCAGACATGTCTTCTTCCATCAATATGCCGGAGACAGGCATGCATTTTGTCTGTGAACAAGACAATTCTTTCACTGTTGCCCATCTCAAACGAGCTTCTCGGTGCCGTATAATGAAAATTGCCATTTTAACCAAACGTCTAGCATAGAGCCCAGCACTGTGTAAACGATTTCTGATCGTCTGCACAGTAACCCTTTGTTGATTCACAGCACAGTCTGGATCTCTAATCCTACAAATGAATAAACACTCTAAAAACTGAAAATGTGAAGTTAATTGTTGTCCTTCGCCAATTAATAACCAGTCTATCCTCTCGACAAGTCGTTACTTTAGATTATCCATTTGGAGGTCCATCCTTAGGAGTACCAGCCCCTAAAAGGCCAATACACCATTAAGCAAACTACCATAGGTCTAATTAGTTATAGGTTTGATTAACAACAACTCATTTGTTTAGAACTTATTAGGGGGAAATTTCCTTTTTTTTGCGGTGTTTGTATGTGTGCACATTTGACAGATAATGTTTATGACCGACTGTAATTCGCCCGATGAAATATATTATGGGTGAGAGCTCGCCAGAAAAAAATATATGGGTGAGTGACAGACATAAACTTATGTGGGCGAGTGCTCCTCAGACGTTAATGATGCAGGTATAATTGCTATGAACATGGTTAAAATGTGTGGGCAAATGTTTGCTATGATAGCGACTTTGTATAATACTGCTCATGATCATTATAAGCGTCATGACAAAGAGAATTAATTATCGCCTGGCGTATCAGACCACTCATGCACAGACTGATTTCCCTTCAGCGCAGTTTCGAAGCTTGTTATTGCGTTTTATCGCTGATCCAGGACCACAAGAGGGAATTTGATATCGGCAGGAATGTGTAAACACACTTCAAGTGGGATCAAGGCTAGTAGGCTACACAGGACGTTATCCTCATTGTTATTATTGTCAGCAGCCAGGCCAATTTCAAGCTTAGTATATGCAGCGTAGGACTCATTGTATCTGATCTGACGAAAATAAGCTTCAGTGGGTAATTACAGGTGTTTTACACAATGGTTAGCAATGCCCATTTAGCTCCGACTGTGGACACCGTTACAAAGGGAATGACCATGGGACATGTTGAAGACTTGATTTTCGTGACCCACTATTCGTTTTGACCAGGTTTTGAATGTTGAATATTGGGATCAGAGGTCATCGCAAAGGAGCAGTCTTTGGCCATTCAATCGATAGAGGTTGTGCGTTGGGTACAAGAGCATGCACATACCGGTTTTTGAATTTGCTCGTCATTAAAAGGTTCTTGTCAGGGTCAGTCCTATGATTCGGATCGCCCGCCCAGAGATATTTCCGCAACCATCAATCTTGCAAGCCTTTTGTGGAGTTTGTCTGTCAGCTGTTGTTCGCTCATTGTTTATCCTCTCACTGTGGAACCAAAGACGCCACGCCACTGTTATGCATGTCTTTCATGCTCTTGTGTTGCCGATGTCACAGAACCATGGAACGATATTCACGAACTTAAGCGATTTATTTGCGCTTTTCCTACTGCTGCTATATGGACACGACGTGGGGTGAGATTGGTGTGTTTTTAAGGATATATTGTATGGTTTTGAGGTTATTGGGTGTTAGAGAAGCAATCCTGCTGGGTTTGTGAGAGAGACAAGTTCAGGTGGCGTGGATCACCATTATCCCCAATCCTTAATTAGACTGAGCATGATTGTGAGGGTTGTGAATAGAATACTATAATTAAGCTTTCTTAATTTTAGTATATTATTATATAGTATTGTTATTATTCATAAATCAGAAATATAAAGATGTGTCATATTTTAAAAAATGTCCCATCCCTGCCTTAAGAGGGGGGGGGGATGGAAAAGCATCAAATTACATGTTTCCACTTCACACTTCGATTGCACAGAGTGACCGTTCTGTACAACCATCTTTGACAATAATATATACTTCAAAATGCTTGCAACATTTGGTTTCTGTTTGCTTTCAAATTATACAAACATACAAAACTGTAGATTCTTATAGCAACAGACAAGTCAGGAAATCAAGCAATGAACACGTATGATCGTTTGCTTTGAAGTATTTGCTCAGTCTTTTATTCTTTCGGGCGCATACATTTCTATTCTGCCTCTGGTTCATATTTTTATAATATGTTAAAATATGCCATTGAATTGTTGTCATTTGGAAACGGTATAAACTTTGCATTGATTTACTTGTCGGGGGTCTCGGAAGCAACTGTGTAGGTCGGTAGCACCTTGCCTGGTGGTCTTACAGCAAATGTTACACATTTGGACACTGGCCAACAAATAGACATTGAATGTCCATTCTATTGATTCTAAAACCATTTATAGACATAGTGCTCTAGATTTTTGTTAAACTGAAATAGGTTATCATCATTTATATTTATAAACACCAGGTAGGAAGGAGAGTTGCAGTGTGTCTGCAGTAAGTTGGGCCATTTAGAGAACACCAACCAATCGCACTGCAGAACAAAAATCAAACTAAAGCTTGTCCAATCAAAAGAAATATTCAGGAAGCCATTAACTGCAGTGTTTACTTTTACAAGTCTATTTTTACTGTTTGACATTCATTTATTTGTCCGACACTCATTTATTTGTTCAAATTGTTTTTGGCCTAAATGCTGATTGGCTAATGCGCCGTTTGTTGATTTTTACAATTTTTGTTCTGTCATCGGTTAGTGTTCTCTAAGTGGTCCCACTTACTGTAGATGTACTGTAATGTATAAAATTGTTTGGGATTGACAGTACATAATTATAAGATAATTCACAACTGTATGATTTTCCTTTTTTGTCTGCACAAGCACCTGTATGTTGAAGCCAAAATATTGCACAGCTTCTCCTATAATTCTATAACCATTCACTCTTGCCCCTTGAATGCAACAGATATGATAGCCGATAAAGTTTAGCTAAGTATTTTTTTATTATATCTGGTATAAAGTGTCCCTACGTTTAATCAGTTTACGATAATTCATAAACTGTATATGTGCATGAACTCTCGCTCATAGCCATAGAATTATTAAGTGAGTTTCTATAAGCCTTTTAAAGTTTCCATTGAAAGATAGGTGGTTTGCCTCCAGTATCTTTTGGTGAAACTTCCAAAACGTCGATCACAGTACACAATAAAGATTAAGATTGATGATATAAATATTGATGACCTACAGGCACAGCGGCATGATACAAGGTCGAAAGAAGCTGGATTTAAGATGGGTTATTGTCCTAAATATTCAAGTTGCATATTTCGTCCTAAATAGTCAAGTTGCACTGCACACACAGAGGAGCTTTGTCATTTGTGTGATGATAACAGATAGCTATACTTCGACATAATCATTCTTGATCGTTGAGTTTCAGCAATATAAATGCAGGGAATTTTACAGTCCATAACAGGTTTTAAACTCTTAGTCCTGTATTTTCACAGTCAGGATAGCATTGTTTACCAACAGTTGGCAATGTTTGGGAAATCAAAGGATCCTGTCATAAAATAAATATTTTGTTTTGAATACCGGACAGGATTCACTTCAACTATAAACAACCATATCGTTTGTTTGGTCGATCAGTTGGTGTAGATCAAATGGTGTCATATTTAATCAAAATCCGCCATTTTCTCTGGGATGAATTGCATTATCCCAAGTCAATTTTTTTTTTTAAGGACAAGGCAGTTCTGTTCAATGCTAACTTATTGGGAAATATATATCTTTTGAAAATACCTTGGTCTGTGAAAAAGCGTCCAATCCCAAAATCTGACAGCACTAGATCACCCCGCATGTCGACATTGGGAAAAGTGCTACGAAATACGAAGGCAATTGTAATGTTTAGTTGTTGTCCTGCAAAGTCACAGT